CACTGACCAACATAGTTCACTGCTGACCAACACTGACCAATATTGTTTGCTGCTGACCAACACTGACCAACACTGACCAATGCTGTCCAATACTGATCAATGCTGACCAACGCTGGCCAATACTGTTCAATACTGACCAATACTGACTAACAATGATCCAATAACAGAGAGAACTCACCAGCTCATAGTTCACCGGAGAGACACACAAGGTAGTGACCTGCAAGAAAAGAAAGATTTAAGATGAGATGGGTAATATATAACAGTCTTACGTTCTCCCATTGAATATTTCTAAATCCAACCTCTTAATTAATACTCCTTTGACCATTCCTTTCTTGACACCACAATCCCTGATGTCCTTGGGGAGTTGAAACTAAGGTTGATCACAATGTCTTGAGTCAACCCTTTATTCATTCACAGGATGAGGGCAACTCAGAATGGGCCAGCATTTATTGCCCATCCCTAATTGCCCAAGGGCAGTTAAGAGTCAACCACATTGCTGTGGTTGTTCTGGAGTCATGGAGAGAGTAATGGGCCACAGGGAGCTCTCCAGTCTCCTGGATAATTCAAAAGGTGCAAGGTTTGAACTGGTTCGTTTAGCTTACAGAGAATGAGGAACTGACCACGAATATATCTCACTTCCGGCAACTATAAATGAGGACACAGCATCATTCTGATTCAGAAGGAGACCATGCGGCTGATCTGTTATTGGGTGATCACAGCTGATTAACTTCGATTGGTTACAAAGATTGCTTATAGGACAGTTGGGATTGTTTGGAAAATTGCAGAATCACATCAAACAGTAGGCGTTATGATTTCTGTTTTTACAAGTGTGGACTGGTTAGTTTCTGTGCCAGTGCAGTACCAGAGCTGTACATTGTGCATTCCATTAACTGGCTGATTGAAGTGAGTGTGAATACATTCATACACAGAGAGCCATTTCCTGCAAATCAAAGGGACATTTCCAAGACTTGCAACATTTCTCGAATCACCTGGAAGTTTGGAAAGCCTAAGGTACACCATTGCTTTCTCCATGGCCAACCAGTCAATGACCCAGTTAATGAGTACCCTCGCCTATGGTGTAAATTGGTGGAGCCATTTAAAATTTTATATTTTTACATTTGTCCTGATGATTGCAAGATTAAACATTTTGGGACAACTTGTCTCTCTTTATAGCACTAATAGTAAGGCTCTTCCACAGACAGGATTGGATAAAAGTTCTGAAGAAGGCTTCTGACCCGAAATGTCAACTTTCCTGCTCCTCTGATGCTGCCCGGCCTGCTGTGTTCCTCCAGCTCCACACTGTGTTATCTCTGACTCCAGCATCTGCAGTTCTTGCTATCTCCTTAGAATGTGTTGCCCATTCCTAATTGCCCTTGAACTGATGGCCTTGCTTGGCCACTTCAGAGGGCAGTTGAGAGTCAACCAGATTGCTCACAGACTCTCTGTGACTCTATGTGCTGTGCTTTGCTGGAAGACTAACGTTTCCAGACACAGCTAATTAGACACGACAAACTCCTTCTTGTTGACCAACTCTACAATCCTACCATTGATCTGACATCTGGGTGTCCATCGTAACTCAGTGGTAGTGCACACACCTCCGAGATAGGAGTTTTATTCATTGCCACAACCTACAGTCAGCTCATTCAAACCTCAGCTCAATGAAACATTCTCAAGGCAGTGATCTCAAACTGTTGTATAGTCAGAGACAAGAGGAACATCAATTTGGTGCTGGTCAGTGGGTTTGTAACCTAGGGCCCCAGATTTATATCCAGGTGACGTGGGTTCAAATCCCACCAGGGGCCGACGGTGAGATTTAAATCAATAGCAAACTGGAATTATATACAGCTTCACATGATTTGGTCTCCAATCCCACAGAAATGTGGTCAACTCTTCACAGCTCTCTGGCTGGCTAAATTAGCAACACCCACAATCTCTGAAGAAATCCGGACAAACCCAAAATGAATGGGAAGGGGAAAATGGTGATTCTCAATACATTGTCAGTTTTGCCAATTCCCTTTGATCTTCCCAAAGCACTGGTTTTCTCTGCCGTGCGTGACTCAATGATCCAGGATGGGGCACCTGCTGGTCATAGACATCACACCGAGAAATACGTTCAGTGTATGCCCATTTCAGAGAACAGTGGGAGAGTTCTCTCTGGTGTCTTGGAGCAACCATTGTGCCTCTAGTCTCATCCCCCAAAAAACAGATTACCTCATCATTACCACATTGGTGTTTATGGGATCTTGCTGTTTGTCTTTACATCTTCAAAGCGGTTGAGTCATTGTAAAGCTTTGAGATGCCCTGAGGTTGTGAAAGATGATATTTAAATGTAAGTAATATTGAAAAAGATCCATTTTATCAAAACCCTTCAGCTTTCACGCATCAGGACAATTTATAAGAATACCAGTGTTAAGGGAAACAATATTCATTGTAGAAGAAGATAATCTTGATTGGTTGGTGAGTGGACAGCAGTTGGTAGAGGCATTTTCAGTGGCAATGTATTTATCAATCAGACACCATTTGTCAACCAATCAGCAGTCTCCTCTCATACAGTATGAATGTTGTTTTCCCTTTATATTGGTATTCTTGTGAATTGTCCTGATGAGTGTAAGATGAAAGCCTTCAATAGAATAGTTTCTTTTTTTGTCAGCAATAATCAAGTTCTATATTAGCAAGCAACTATTTATGGAAACATAAGTTGCTTTTTCCTTCTGTTGCATAAAACACTGGTGAGACGTCAGCTGGCATAGCGCGTGTGCTATGTGTGCGCTTCATTATGGGAAAGAAGTGAATACATTGGAGAGAGTGCAGAAATGGTTTACAAGAATGGTTCCAGGAGGAGGAAATTCAGCAATGCAGACAGGTTGGAGAGGGTGGGACTATTCTCCTACGAGAGAGGAGACTGCAAGGAGAGCTGATGGAGGTTTTCAAATTGTGAGCGGGCTGAATAGAGCAGAGAGGACGAAGCTTTTCCCACTTCTGAAAGAAACAAGAATGAGATGGACATAAATGTCATGTGCAAACAAAGCAATAATTCTCTTTCAATCAACATGACTTCACAAGAGTTTATTGTGGTCAAATTAGTTGCCACTATGCTTCAAAATGTCCTGCATGGGTAGACTGAAAAAAAACGGAGTGTAATTTAAG